CAAGTACTATTATCATGTCATGTTTCGAAATTTTATCACATACAGACTGCAATTCATCATAAAAACCATCTACTGCCACCTCTTCTGTCCCCTCGATTGGTGCATAGACATTAACAAGGGTTATATTATGGAGTTTCCCTTTTACTCTAAGTGTACATATTCTTTCACTTACTGGCATAAAGGCCAGCACAGCCTTACGCATTTGTATGGTAACAATAAATCCTACTCCACATTGTCCTTGCCTATCGTCTTTCCCAGAATAATATATGGAGAAGTTTACCTTATTTATTACTCCCTTATTTTTCCATCTAATTTCTTGTATAGCGACAATTTCCATTCTATATTTTATAATTTCATCAGCTATACCATTCATCGCTCCTACTTGTAGCAGAGTGCGCACATTCCATGTTCCAATATGTAGTACCAAATTTTTATCCTTGTTCCTAGCTAATGTTCGTCTTCGTGAGGACAGTCCAACTTTATTCTTTTTTACAAGGCTGGGTTGTTAGCCCTGCGCTCAACCCCCAACCTGGAGGACCAGGGACTCTTCTGTCTGGGTTACCATACCATAGCCAGAAAGACTCAGTTTTGAGGCGCTGGGTACTCGCCCTCATCCCCCCTCCTCGAGGGTAGGATTTGATGGTTGTGCTGAAAAATTATCAACTTGAGCACTTTTCTAGATTTATTGAGGTAGTCAGTTGTCATTACCCCTTTGAAGCCCAAAGTCCAGTTCTGTTCTTACTCAAAGAAAGCACAAGAAATCTCTTTTAGTAGAAGAGTTGGTTGGTATTGTTCAAGGAAACAGTCAGTTTGCTCTGAGAATCATATGAAGCCCACAGTGCGCGCAGAATGAATGGTAACGCATTTAAGGGGTTAACAATATTTGCCTTCTGATATTAGGTGACTATTTCTCATCACACAGGTTGACACAGCACTACAAAAAAAAAAATTAAGCATGCCACATAAAACTTATCGGTGGTCTGCATGTGGCCTGCGTTCCGTGGGTTCATAACCCCTGAGTATCTGGTATACATAATTGTAATTAATGGAAGGATAAATGCAAGGAGATTAAGAAAGATGGGAATTATGATGCCAACACAACACTTATATCACTTCTGGTTTGGGATTTAGAACATTTCAAGTGCCTGATTTTGGTTGCAAAACATAAACAAAAATTTCATTACAGTGTATCAACATGTTGTAAAGATGTTTATTCAGTATTAAGTACAAGTAGTATCAAAACATGTTTCTAAAGAACATTTCATGTACCTGCCTTAACATATTAACAACCTCAGAATCATTAAAAGTACCAAATCTTAATGCTAATGCCAGCTGCAGATTGTAAGAAATTTGGCACTGTTACCCCAGTGACATAAGTCCACAAGGGTTTGGAAGATAATTTAAGATTTCAAGATCTAGCAGCATACATTTCAATGTCACTGAAACTTCTCTTTCAACTTCATTATCGAGTATTTCGTGGTGAGAATGATAAATATTAATACAGATCTCTACAATAGTTCACAATATAATTTATTTATTCCTTGCACACAGCACTCACAGTCTCCTAATACATGCACAAAAGTATTTAAAATAACATATCGATTCAGACCAAATTTTTATGAAGTTCTGACACATCTGATTTTCTCCGACATATCGTGGCACCTAACCGTTGTCAAGATAATCAGTTAGCGGGAATATGATCACATATTAAGTTCACAGAAAAAACTGAAATTCAACTTGTATTACATTCATTAACGTAAGCTATGACTTTGAGTTTCAGGCTGTGACAGTATCATCATTTTAAGTTGTGGCTGTTAGCTCTTTCGTGTCCTCCTCATTCTACTAATTCTGTTTCTTCTCTACTTCCACAGTTCTAGCTTCCCCCCCCCCCTCCCCAAGGCTCTCTGGTCCCCTCCACCTATCAGCTTTCTTGCTGTGTGTCCTCACTGCTCCTGCATCTGACCCAAATTTCTCAGGCATAGATTACTGATTGCTGAGATGATGGAGGTAGTAGGCACCTCTACAATGGCAGTTAATTTCTACCAGTCAGAAGACAGTCAGTCACCTTGTATGTATACGAGTTTCAATGATGAGATAATTTCAAAATGAACATTTGTTATTTTGTTCAACGTATAAATGTGTAAAGAGACAATGATACAGTGAGATTAAGGATATAAAAGTTCAGAGGCAGGCTTGTGAAAACAGTTTTTAGAACTGTGAAACATATTCATAAATTAAAGTCTAGACATCACTTTTTCCTTTTACTATGCAGAATTATGTGTAAAAGTTAAGACACATCTGTCTTCTGGGAAGTGTTTCCCATGGGATTCCTCTTGACTTTCTAACCAACAGAGATGTATTAATGCTTAACAACACAAATTCAGTCATTTGCTATTAAAAACCTTGCAGACTGCTTAGCGAATGTATCATCCTGGCATATGATAATTCTGCACATATTCGGGACGGTGGAGTGTGGTCAGACTAACCCTGTGACCGAGGCGGCTAGTTAGGCCCAAGAGCCATTCTGACACGAGATGTCCAGAGCCAGTCAGACCAATGAATAAGCCATCATGACTCCCAGTGTGGGGCTGATCAATGTTACAGTGAAAATCTGCTTGATCGCTCTCGCAGACGAAACATGATGTCCGGGGATTTCCGTGGAAGCACCCAGATACTATCTTATCTTATTTGTTGACACTGTCTAATACTGAGGTTATGAGCAGAGGAAGACTTATGTTAGAACAAAATTAATACTGAAGATGAAGATAGTAAGTTTCACTGAAACATTGGCACGTACTAACCAGTCCACACAGCAACAAAACCCATCATCATCACTGTGGAAACATTAAATCTCACGTGCACAGATCGTGAAACCGAGCGAAATGTCTTGGAATTTGATACAAAATATTCAAACTGTCACATGTTTTACTGTGAACTTGCAACTCACTGAACTACATCACCAAATCATGGTTACACAGTTGATTTTATTATGGATCACGTAATGCTAACCAAAATGGGACAAAAGGCCAAAACATTTTGAGGCAGACACATAATGTGACCTAATGGTGTACTTGTTATTTATAATATATTTACTAACAATACCTGTCAACTTCATTTTTCTTTCAGTCTTGTTACAGAAAATATCTTCATATGATGAAAAAAGATTCTCTATTAATACACGCTATGAAATAATTCAGATCATTATGTACACATATGATAGGTTACAAAATTATATCTATTTGATATTAATTCAACATCTGTCTTAAAATAGCCATGTCGCCCGGCTCTCCAGCCAGCAGTCTGCTGAAAGAAAATCGCATCTGTTTATCACTAAAAAATTAATTTGTTTGGAGCAGTGATATGAAGTGACACCATACATAATACCAGATACTGACTAGCAGAAACAGGCAAGAAATATAAATTTTATCTCACTGATAACTGCCATACACTTATAAACACCATAACTATATACAACTTTTAAATACTATAACAAATTAACAACATTAAAAGCTGTACAAGTCACATAACTGCACAACCAATATAAGGACTAACATATGTACAATTCAGATCGTCAAAGCTACTTGTGACTGTGATCGTATGTTAGCTCTTTGCATGTCGCATTTAAAACACTAATAGCTGGTGTTATCAGCCAATATTTTATAGGTACTTAAATTTTAAATGAAATTACACTATTTTAGGAAGACAGCAATTTTAATTTTAATCGAAAACTTATTAAATGGTGGCAGAACCTTTTGCAACAACAAGTATCAATAAGATTGTGTCCAGCATGTGACAGACACAAAGCTAAAATAATGTACTGTAAAGTGTTGTTTTATAATGAACAAAGTATTTGTCTGCAGCTTTATTGCACACGTCAGCATGACATGCTACTGAAGTGGGCAAAGAAAATAACAGATTTATAGAAAAACCTTTGTGATATTTTCCGAGACAACACAATTGCTGATTCGAATGGGAGGAGCTTCAATAGGCACCCTCATATTTATCTGTTGTGGAATTGGGAAAGATTTCCTGGTATGATCCTGTATATGTTTATTATGCAGTGAAAACCAAGACTGAACACGTACATATGGTCTGTCCATTAAGAGAATAAAATAAACTGAAGCTGTAATTGCACAACTGTGGACGGGGTGATAATAAATTAAGTTCACATTTTAATAGCCCTACATATATAAGATTTCAAGATGAGTGATCACTGAAACTTTCTCTAAAGTTGTTCAATTACTTGCTTCAGTCATCAAAAGTGACAGAAGCTGAGACAGCTTTGTTTATAAATCAACTAACACCCAGGTATATAAAGGATAATAAACCAGTTTGATGACGGTATACTTCAGTGTGTTCACTCCATCAGTTTCAAACCTCTCTCTCCCCAGTCTGAGATTCAGAAACCGATTGTCACTTGGCAGTTCTTTCGCATGTGACAACATCGTGTATCTCGCAACATCTGGTGGAAAACGACACAGTGTCATGCCTCTATTTATTATTCGGCTTTGAAAGTCATCATCTTCTCCTCCCCAGCCATAAAAAAAGTTTGAAAAACCATTTACCAGTTCAAACTGCTTCTGAAGTATGGCAACTGCCCCACCAAATAACTGTTCATAAGGCAAATTGTAACGAAATGTGTTTAAGCTGGAAGACATATGGCGGGGCTGATGAGTGCAGGCATACATATTACTCAATTTCTGAGGAATTAAATCTACATCATGAAAAATGAAACAGTGATACGGAAATATTTTCAAAGCTTCAGCATAACCCACATTGAGAAGTTTGGCACGATTAAAAGCCCCTTTTGTCCCCTGTTCAATAATGAAAATACGGTAATTTAACATTTGTTTCTGGAGGAATGGATGTATGTAAGACAGAAATATCTGTAACTGCAGAGTACGGTTCCGATAGGGGATAACAATTGCGACTTGATGTTGAGATATACATTGTGGCGGCTCCCATGCTCCACCTTCTGCAATGTTATGCATGTGAGCTAGATACTTGAGATCATACTCCCTTACAGATTCATTAGGGTACTGTAATGATGTCTCTAATTCTTTGGGAATAAGTGAACACAAAGGTTTATCACTTTCTTTCACCAATGCTAAGGCATGTGGTGATGGTTCGAGCTCATTTTCTATATCAGAGTATTTTATGTAAGGATAATATGACGATGCAAAACGACTAGGATGCAATATACAGCACAGAACAAATACAAAAGCTATACTGAATATAAATCTCTTAATTACATCTTTGCTTTGGAACACATTAATTCCAGTCCTTGTCAACATAATTACTTCCTTGCCTTCCTTCTTCTAAGCCTCCGCCAGTTCCATTGTTTAATGATGGGCAAATAACATCATCACCCGTAGCACTTCTTGCCGTTTGGATCAAAATTCAAGTGCCAGTCTGACAGGCCATAATTTGGTTACTGAAATGGAAAACAAACACCAAGACTAAGAGACTCTCACATAACAATACGTGTCACTAATTCTTTCAGGTTTTCAAGGCAGACATAACCTCTAAGTTGTATGACATCTGCAATTTACATCATAGCACGATCAAGACAAATTATTATAAGTCATACAAAGGCCATTCTTTAATTTCATAAGGTATTCATTAGGCGCTTAACCAAGTTCCATGATCGAATATCACTTACTACAACATTCAGTAAAACCCAACGAAAAAAAGACTCCAAAAATCAACAAAACTCTTACCCACATTCACGAGTCACGGTTTAGGTTTCAGTGTCGCCAACACTTTAATTCAGAAAAGACGTATATACAGCTTAATTCTAAAAACGTGATAAAATCTACTGACCTTAGTTGATGTTAAGATTTTGCAAGTTTTTCGGGATTTCATAATTATAAATATATTTTAAGTGTTCCGTTGCTTGTGTATGTATGTTCTTTTCAGATAGCAGTATATGACCTAATGTGATCTGCTTGGTCCAATCAGCAACTTTGTAAAAGCTGCCACTAGCTACCGTGACGCGATGTAGTCGTAACAGGGCATGTGTGTAAGTGAAGGTCATGAACTTTCACCTTATAACAGATTTGAAGTTCGCAACTATATATCAGGTGAGTGATACACCTTCCAAATATGCATTTATATTTTGCTGGGTATTTGTTAAGTAAATAAACTGTCATAATACGCAGTGTTGAACTTGGATATGTGTTTTCGTTGTTTTTACTTATAATCGGACACTTTTTGTACACTTGGTGAAAGGATCCAAGAAATTCATATTCACATTTTGGCGTGTAGTTTCTACCGCATTACTGATAACCTCTGATGGTGTCAGATAATATGAAACTGGAACTTTTACCACAAATATATGATTTGCTAATGCAACCAAGAATTTCAAAATAATAAAATTGTTTATATTCTAGCGGCACACCTTTTCTCATCTAAAAGTGACATCAGTAGTTAGCATTGTGTGTTCTTTGCAGGTTATAGTAAAATCCTGTATATTTTAGGAAAATTAATTAGACGTTGTATTTGTAAAATAGTTCGAAACATTGCAGCACATGTTTATATTTGTTTTTAAATGTTGACGTTATTTTATGATCGTATTCAAATGTTATCACAAGTGTTGCGTAATATTTCATATTGTTATATGGAAAGGACATTTTAAAATAAGTCTGTCAATTTGAACCCTCTTCTACAGGTGAGACCATGAATCAGGATATTTGACAGCATATTATTAAGCATTTTAGGGGAATTTTACTATTCATTGCCCATCCCACTTCTCAGGTAGTAATACAGAATACTCTAAGTAGTTCAGTAACAGGTTAGGTCAGCTTTGAACAGTCTGTGCTTCTGGTACCTAATCATTAAATAAATTGAGAACATTACATTAGAGCAGTGGTACCCAAACTTTTTCAGTTCCTGTAGCATATGGTGTTATTTGTGTAACACTAAAATGAATCGACTTTTTACATCAGTGTTACCGGAGGAAGATATGGTGTCATATAATATTTTCAGCTTTACTTCTCAAGTAATACTGATAATCAAACAGTCATCAACAAATTGTACCTAGCAAGGACAGAAGATAATAACAATAAGAATAAACCTACTTCCAAATTTAATCTAATGGTTGAGCCTGATGACATGCGAATAATCTGTTGATATCGGGTATGATATTTGACAACTGAATGTTTATTTTGGGTTCTGCATTTAGTTCGTTCATATCCTTTTTTTTTTTTTTGGAAACATCTGGAAAATCTAGTGTCACACAAGTAGATGAGACATTGCAAGAAAAATGAAAAATTGAAAACATTTAATGAGTTTACTTTATTTCTGTGGAAACTGGAAAAAGATAGCCAATACTTGATTTCAATTGCTGAACGCCTTGGTGCGACTCATACAGTGCCAGAGTTCAGCGACCACTGCAAGAGGCTTGGGGAAATAAGAGCGGGTTGTGTTGAGTTGGCACAAAAGGATTGATTTGTATGAAGTGAAATGTTACACTATTTTGTTGATATTTATATCAGTGGTTCTTTTCCTTGCTTTTACAAGGTGTTGGTTGGGAGGCCTAAAGGTAGGAGACTGCTGGGAAGACCTAGGCATAGGTGGGAGGATAATGTTAAGATGGGCCTTAGGGAGATAGGAATCTATGGAGTGAACTGGTTGCAGGTAGCTCAGGATAGGGTCTGGTGGTTGGCTTTGCAAAAATGATGATGAACTTTCAGGTTCAATAAGAAAGTGGACCTTTCTGTGACAAGCCGAGTATACAGTCGACTTTTCAAAGGATTTCCTGCGCCATAGAGTGTAGAGTGTGTCTCCCCTTTTTATTGTTAATTTTCCCATAGACACGATGCTTTGTTTTGTTTTGTTTTAAGATTTTTGTCTGCCTGTAGAACTGTTTTATTTTCTAATAATGAACTTGCTTATCTCGTTACCCACTATCAAATAAAATACATATGTAACTGAGTATGCCATAAAAACAGTATTAGAAAACTTACTTATTTGGTGTTGCTTTTCTTATAATACACTCTGAATTTCAGGTTCTGAGGGACCGTTTTAAACATAGATTATGTTGCACATTTATATGATTCCTGTATTTTGATTGTACATAAGCAACCAGGAAGAAGATGGCTACCTTTTGGGTTGTAGCAACATGTAGTCTAGTAGAAGTTTACTGAAGTTTCAGAGGTTGTTGCTGCCTCCTTCATGAGAGTAGAAGACAGCCATCCTCAGACTCACCACTGTGAAAACCTCAAATCCAACCAGGAATAAATCTGCCCACATAAATATGTTGTCCAGTGCTTTGGATGCCAGTGCGTAGTTCTCTTTCTTCACGGGCAACCAACAACCTGATAATTTGCACTGAATGAAACTTGTCTTAATTGAGATGTCACATGAAAGCTCAACAAATTTCTTCACTTTCAGTTCAATTGTTTACACTTTTTAATGTGTCTATGAAATGGATCTCTAATTCACTTATTATTAGCTTTAAGAAGAGGAAAACAGTTGAAACTCTGCAAATGCTGAGTAGTAAGATGTGGCTTTCACTTTACTTTCACTTGGGGTAAAAATTGCTGTTGTATGTTCAAATTTAGGTAACTCAAACGGGTAAAGATATGATATGCCAGCATAGCTGGCCGTAAAACTTCCCTCCTTGTAATGCTTCATCACTGAGAAATATTAATATCTTATTGAAAAATTCAAGTAGGTAAATGTTCTTCCGTGAGACAGTCACACACATGATGATGTAATTGTCCCCTCAGTGGGCATCAAAGTATATGAATTCAAAGGATTAGGTTTGACAAAATTAACAACTTTTCACTGCTTCATCCAGCATAGTTTTAATTTTTTATGGTATCTCCTTGCTTTTCTATGCTTTCTTGTAATTCTGAACAGAAAAGGAAAGCTAATTCTGGATAATTGTTCAGGTTGGTTTTCTGGACGTTTAGGCAGATACAAACATCTCAAGAGAGACGTACAGTCTCCATCTTCAGGACTTGTGTCCAAGTTGAATCCTACCGTAAAAATGGTTGCTGACTCTGCATTTCAGCTTCTTTTTGTTTTTTAAAAGCATTATCCAGTTTTATGCTTTGAGACTTGTGCAACAGATTCTCAACTGCTTGTTAGCAAGCATTGCATAAATTAGTCTGCTCTTAATTTACATTTGAAAATCTAATGCCTTGCATTCAGTCTTGGTGATTATTCACAGACACTTTTGTACACTGTTCACTAATTTATATTTATTGAACTACATGTTTCAGCCCAGTATTATTTCAGACAAAGTGATAGTTAAAAAAAATCTCAGTTCTTTACAGCTACTTCAAACTTTTATTTGAACCTGGTGATGGCAATATTGGGCTGAAACACATAGCTCAAGTCTGAAGGTCTGACGATGGCGTGTTGTTGAAGCAAAGTGTTTTCTGGACTTTGTCCATTGTCCAAGATTAAATAAAGTCAATAAAAACCACGGAGATAAGGATTAGCTCTATCGATTGGGCCCAACAGAGTAGGTTTTACCTGAAGATGGAGATAGACTCCAGCCTCATAAACATCATGGTTTTTACTGATTTTGTTTAATCTTGGATGATGGATTATGTCCAGAAAACAATTTGCTTCTGAAACATGTAGTTCAACAAAAATAAACTAATGAACAGTGAGAGTGTATAAAGGTAATTGAAAATGATGATCAAGAATCAAGATGTATGATTTGAGGTTTTCACAGCGGTGGGTATGAAGATTGCCATCTTTTGGATCGTTATGCCGTGTAGTCTGGTAGATGTCAACCGGCGTTTCAGAGGTCATACTGAAGAATTAAGATAATGCACTGGGATGCTACACCACAGAACCATACACTCATCTAGCACCTTTCAAGTGTATTGTATGCCTAACTTTGTTTCAGCACTGATCACTGAATATCGGACAATGCCTGTGTCTGACTGGAATTTGCAAACTAAGGACAAATTCACCGTGTTTCTTTCATAATGATCTGCTTACATGGTCCCAGTGTTGAAAAACATTTCTGCATTATCATTTCACAGCTAACCAGGTGAGGATTATTTTAAATATTTTTAAAATATAAATAATATTGACTGACCTGTCGCAGATTATCGTTGTCAGATGTATATTTCCCAAGTAATGTGTGTGGGTGTGTGTTTTTGTGTGTTCACTGAAAAAAAGTTGTCCCCAATCTTATACATTTTGAAACTGAATCTTAATTATTCGGTTTCTGTCCGTCTAATCACAATTCATGTTTTAAAATTTACAATTAAGATAATTAAAATATCATTTTATGTTCCTCATCGAACAATCGATTTACAATTGGAACATCTTTTTACAACATGTTTCGGTTTCTATATAAACCATCTTCAGGTGTAAAAGTTAAAATTATAAACTTAAAACTTAATTACAATTTCTGATATGCAACTTTTTGGTGATGTTCACTTCCAGATTCATTTTTATATTGGAGTGAATGTTTTTTGATGTTCTACATCGG